TTGTCTCCTACTTTATTTGAAATCTTCCTCCTCTGATTTCCCTGCTACCTCTGTGGCTGTAATGTTCTGGTGTGGTGGGGCTTATTAGAGGGTCCTGTCTCAAGCACTTATCAAGGAAGTTGTCAAAAAGGGCGAGTATAGTCGGAACTCTTGAAGAGTGCATATGACAGGACCCTTGGCTCTATTAACCCCAGCCGCATTGGAAGATTATGGTGGTGGATGTGGGGAAGGGGGTGGGGATTAGAGGAGCAAGATTTCAACTGAAGCAGGAACACAAAGGACACATCTCATTGATAATACGTTATGTCAAAACATTTTATCCACACCTTGGTTATATCCCGCCTTGATTACTGCAACTCCCTCCTCACTGGTCTACCGTTACACAGGCTATCCCCTCTTCAGTCTATTATGAATGCTGCTGCTAGACTCATACACCTTACCAACCGATCAGCGACTGCTGCCCCTCTCTGCCAATCCCTCCACTGGCTTCCACTAACCCAACATATAAAATTCAAAATACTAACTACAGCTTACAAAGCCATCCACAACACTGCCTCTAGCTACATCGCCAACCTCATCCACAGATACCGCCCAAATCGCCCACTCCGCTCCTCCCAAGATATCTTCCTCTCTAGCTCCCTCATCACCTCCTCCCACGCTCGCCTCCGGGACATCTCCAGAGCCTCTCCCATCCTCTGGAACTCCCTACCATAGCATGTCCGGTCAGCCCCCACCCTGTCTGCCTTTAGGCGATCATTGAAAACTCACTTCTTCAGGGAATCCTACCCCACCTCCACCTAAGAACTGTACTTGAATCACCTCCACCAGATCATCCCCCGCAGCAATCACCTTTTGTATCACCTCCCCCTTCCTTTAGATTGTAAGCTCCATGAGCAGGGCCCTCACATTCCTTCTGTACTGAAATGTATTGTAATTGTACTGTCTTTCTTATATTGTAAAGCACTGCGCAAACTGTTGGCGCTATATAAATCCGGAATAATAATAATAATGTCCCTGTGCTGATTTATTAATTTTTTTTAACTAAGTTTTTTTTTTTAACTTTTATTTTTTACCAATATTACTGCCAGAAGCACACTTCCAGTTCTAGGATGACAATACTTATTTTCCCTTCTGTATCCACAGAAACAAAATAGGAATGCAGAACCACACCCTCTTCTATTATCTGTAACATGGGGGGCATGGTTTTGTAGTCCTCAGAGATGGTTGAGAACAGTATTGTTGGGAGCAGCAATATGAGGCAGAAAGTCAAGAGGTTTTCAACTCAAATGATTTCTGGCAAGACCAATGGGTATTTTCTTAACTCATCAAAGAATTAAAGTATTTAACTATCTAAAAGGGACCAGATAAGAGACTTTCATTGTTAGGGTTTACGTACACATTAAACCACCCAGATCAAGAAAGTCAGTTCTGCATAATTCTCCAAGTCAATAAATTAATAAGTACTAAACCCAGCGAATTTGAAGGACTCAGAAAAATATTTTCAGAAGGAAAGGTCAGCAATGGCATTGTCCATACTTCCTCATTATAGGTTTCTTTTTAAGCCCATGTATTTTTGGTGTTTATTTAACATAGAAAACTGGAGAAATTCCAGCATGTCTGATGTTAGTTACATAACTGTCTGTCAGGCAGCTCTCTTTTTTTATGGCAATAAAAAGATAATTGGGTCCAATAAATGACCTATTGAAAATAACAGGAAATATGTTGGTAGTCCTAGTAGATGAAGTCGTAAGACTTCTGCCAGTGTCTGTCAGTAGATTTTGTTGTCATTGCAAACCCATAACCAAACAATTAACAAAGAGCAGGTTTTTAGGTCACAGAAAATAGAACAGTTCTTCCATTCTTCTTAATTAAAAACACATAGTCAGTCATTATAAACACAAGCAAGTTTCTGATTTTACTTTAAAAACTGAATGTATATATAAAAGATGCAAATTAAGGCAGCTCTGCAATCAATAACACATAATTAAAAGTGTATACAAACAGAGCAAGTATCTTAATTTAAATTGGTTTTAGCTTCTCTGTACAGCAGTGCTGAAAATTGCAAGAAAGAAGCAACACAATAGGGTTGATTTACTAGAAGCAAATAGACTGCAGTTGCACTAAGGCTAGTAAATGAGGTAAAGCTTCACTTTGCAAAGAATATCCAATCACATGCATGGAAAATAAAAAAAAAACAGCTTCCACATGATTGGATGATGGAAATCAGCAGAGCTTCTGCTCACTTATTAAGCTCTGGAGCAACCTACACATGCAGAGTGCAACTGCACTTTGCAAATAGAACAGACTGTTTGCCTTTAGTAAGTCAACCCCAAGAAGCCAATCAGTTCATGTGTTGACAAGGAGCATGCTGATAGGAGCTGAAAGCACAGTGACAGAGAGAGGAACCCATCACTGTGGGGCTGGGGTGATACCAGACAGCCTGGACTCAGAAGAAGTAGGTTGAATGATGCTGGACATCAGACTAAGGACATCTAGCTGCAGAAAATACGTATTATGGGGGGAATCTCTGGATTGAAGGCAAACATTGCAGAAAATGAGGCTTCATATTTATTTTATTTTTCTTAATTTGTTAGATTTGGCTTTGAGCTTTCATTTGAGGTCATCTTTCATTTTGTGTTTGGTAAGAACTTGGTTTAGGTTGGACATAAATGTGGGATTAGGTAGAATTTTGCTTGTATGTTTGATTTTTGGCCATTAGAAGACATTGGGGGCACACAGTGATTCCTGTTTAGGGTATGCTTTAAACTGTTACTAAACCCACTATATCTGGTCTCCCACAGTACACACAACATGGAAGTGCAATTATTTTAGTAAATAAAAACTGCTAAATACCTTTTCTCATCAGCAGTTAGAGCAGTCTTGTGACTTCAGCTAAGCACTGGTTAAAGCTTGTAGGAGGAGTTTTCTCTAGGAGGATGGAACCCCCTGACCTCTGTCTGGACAGTGCTGATAGGCCCTGTGCTGATCACATGCACTCTCTCAAGAAAAAAAAAAAAACCTCTCTAGCAATACACACTAAACTGAGCATGTGCAGAAGGGCACGGTTCAGTCTGTCTTATCAGCATGGGCATTTGAACAAGAGGAAAGGCAGAGAAGAAAAGATCAAACAGCCTTTTTACACAATGCAGAGGATTAACCTCCCTAACGGTATTCCCGAGTGTAGCTCGGGGTAAAATGTCAGTGCCAAAAGCGGTAACCCCGAGCTACACTCGGGCTTACCATGCGGCATTGCATAGGGAGTCCCTGCAGCACTTACCTTGTCCTTCGCTCCTGCGATGTGTCCCCTGCAGCGTCCCTGGCCATCTCCCTCTGGCCGATGCCGGCATCCGGCTTCTGTATTCTGGTCCCTGTGACGTCGGGACGTACGTGCGCCGCCAGCGGGAAATTTGAAAATTTAAAAAATTTTTATTTTTTTCAAAACACATTTTTCATAGTAAAAACATTGCTGTTTCAACCCATTTCACATACATTTTTCCCTAGTGCTTTGTCCTGTGCCCTGCCTGCGTTTTGTCTGTTCTTTCTGCCTGGAAACTGACAAATGTCCATGGCATCCAAAAAGTGTCCCTTTAGGTCAAAAGCGGGTTTAGATCAGCTAGAGAACAGCGATAGTAAATCAGAACCACTTGCAGAATTGAGTGATAATGATTTGTGAAGAAATTCGTCATCAGACACTGAAAACGATTTTGCGACTTTGCTCAGCAATGTGCGAACTTGGCGCTATATTTAAAATTTCAGTGTTTTCGGTTTGATTATATTTTTGAATTAAATGTATTATTATTATATTATTAATTTTATGATTATTTATTAAATTATAATTTATGATTTCGTGTTTCGAATTTTATCATATCCGGAATGTTTACTAGACTCTTGTTCGGACAGATTTCAGCGAGTTATTCCTAAAAATTACAGGCCTACGATAAAAAAAACTATATATTTCCATGCAAAATAATGGTACCGCTTTCAGCACCAAAAATCTGAAATAATCATACCGCCAGGGAGGTTAACCCCTTAGGTTAGTGAATATAACTAGCATGCTTTACTGCATATACAGACTGATTTTACTGTTGTGGGTTTAGTAACACTCGCCACATAAGTTACAATTTTTCTGTACAATCATCTTTAGATCCACCAACAGATATTTTGTACAAGGGCCTAACTTATTGGATGCAGATTGAATGTATAGTTTAGGTATGTCTAAATATTACATCATTTTGGTAAATCTAAAGCTGATTGTACAAAGAGTATACAGTTACATTGCAACACATATGATTAAACAATTACGACTTTTTATAAAAGAACTGTCAGCTGGGATCCTCTGAAGCCTTCCAAAAAGACATTGGAATAGAAGACTGTCATTATGTACTGTATCTTACTGTATCTACCCCTCAGCCACTATTCAGATTCAAGTCTGCTGTGAACGTTTGGTGGCGACTATTGGGAAATATCTCCAGTTCTTAGCAAGATCATGTACAAATATTTCCCTTCTAAAGGAGAAGGGAATTTAGGCAAATATCATATTTATATGAATGCCAAGCCTGTGAAGGTAATGTCCTATCTGCTGGATGTTTAAAAGAATCTCACAACCTTTGTTGAACCAGCATTTACCTGTGGATGTCTGTGTTTTATCTAATGGTGGTCTGGAGGTTATGATCAGCATGTGAAGCTGATTTCACTACAGAACATAGACCCAGTGGGGAGACGTTTGAGAAATGGACCATGTTGATACATTAGGCCCCCTCTACTCATTCAGAAGTGCAGAAACTACCTTCATAAGCTACAGTTAACATGGCCATGTGCAGAGTTGATTGTAATCAATCAAATTTTCAGCATGTTGCAGTTCATCATAAGCCATATTGTCTACAGGACAGGATGGATCTCCTTAATGGGGGCACAGACAGCAATAAAAACTGACAGGGGTTCTACCCCCTCTTCACTCTATCAAAAAAAAAATAAAAATGTACCTTTAGTTATACTTTAAAGCAGAGCTCCACCCAAAAGGGGAAGTTCAGCTTTAAGGACTGCTCCCCTGCCCCCCATTAACCTCCCTGGCGGTATGCCTGAGTGTAGCTCGGGGTAAAGTTTCAGTACTACAAGCGGTAACCCCCCCGAGCTACACTCAGGAATACTATGTGGTGCTGCTCCACGATCCCTCGATCACTTACCTTGTCCTGCACTCCCGCGATGTCCCTCCTGCAGTGTCCCCGGCAATGTAATCTGGCGGATGCTGGCATCTGTCTTCTGGGTTCCATCCCCTGTGAGCGTATGGGGGGATGGAACGGCGGGAAATTCAAAAATGACAAAAACTGATATTCACTAAATACACTAAAATCACATAGTATAACATTACTCTATCAACCCATTTCACATACATTTTGACCCTAGTGCTTTGTCCTGTGCCCTGCCTGCATTTTTACTGTTCTTTCTGCCTAGAAACTGAGAAATGTCCATGGCGTCCAAAAAGCGTCTCTTTAGGTCAAACGCGGTTTTAGACCAGCTAGAGAACAGTGATAGTAAATCAGAACCACGTACAGAATTGAGTGATAATGATTCGTGGGGAAATTCGTCATCAGACACTGAAAACGATTTTGCGACTGAGCTCAGTGAGCACTATATTTCAAATTTCAGTGTTTTTGGTTTGATTATATTATTGAATTAAATTTATTATTATTATTATATTATTATTTTTTATGATTGTTTATTAAATTATAATTTATGATTTCATGTTTCAAGTTTTATCCTACCCGGGATGTTTACTAGACTCTTTCAGTGAGTTATTCCTAAAAATTACAGGCCTACAATAAAAAAAATGCATATTTCCATGCAAAATTGTACCGCTTTGAGCACAGAAATATGGACATAATCAGACCACTAGGGAGGTTAAGGATTGGCACCTTTGGGGGGAGGGTACCCGAATTTGACAGATACCCGCTCCCACTTCCGGTCCGATCGCCTAGGCGATCAGAAGCGGAAGGTGTCCTCCCTCCCTCCCCGTAGTCTTTTGGGACATGTGGCAGGTCCCAGAAGACTACAGGACCATTCATGAAGCGCAGCGCTACTCACGCATGCGCAGTGGGTACCTGGTTGTGAAGCTGCAAGCTGTCACAGCCGGGTGCCCACTCTGAAGATGCCGGCCTCCTGGAATTCAGGATGGCCAGGGAAACGGGCTGCAGGGGACACACTGTGGGACCGAGAGACAGGTAAGTGGCTGTTTTTTAAAAGTCAGCAGCAACAGCCTTCATGGGAGAGGCATGACCAGTGTGATTTTAAAGAGCCCATGCCTTTGGGGGTATGACATATGGAAGTTCCCTTCACCTGCCTGCAGTTCATTTTGCATAATCTTTTAAAACGTCTACATGCTAATTCAAGAGACAGGTGTTTCCCTACAGTCCCTGTGGCATACTATCATCTTTTGTCTCATAGATTATACACTAGCAAATAGCTTTTGTTTAAAAGACATGAGAGCAATGAAGGAGCCACACAAATTGAGCCTCGTGTAACACATACATGTTTTTAAAAAAAAGTATTTTTGCAGCTCAAAAGCTTTCAATTCTTCATATAAAGCAGAGGTTCTCAAACTTAATTGGCCTACACCCCCTTTTCAGAGAAAGCAAAATAGTCAGCGCCACCCTGGAAATCTACCTTCTTTAGGTGAACAAACATAAAGATGCAGTGACAAATGTATGTTCTTTGCATATCTATATTCTATATGTCCTAAAAGATGTAAGGAGATACAGTATACTTACTAGATCCTCTGATCCTCTCCACACCAGACCTGTCCCTGCAGCTCCTGCACCCCCATGCTATAGCGATCTTGAGTCCTGATGTCCTCAAGCCCAGAGCAGCATGGACATGAGGACACCAGGAATAGTCTGGATTGTGGGGGAGCGCCATTTGCCAGTGAAGTGGAGATATGCGTAAGTATAAGGTTTCTCCTCTCCCCTGGAAAAAAACAAGCACTTAACCCTTGCTGATAGCATTAGTAAATAAATGTATATATATATGTAAAGTGCTGCGCACATTGACGCCGCTATATAAGTACCCTAAATAAAATGGGAAGATATTTCATATTTATTTGTTTTACATTTTTGCTTAGTTACTTCCTTGTTTCCAGGCCTAGGCAAATGTTGTCATACATCCCAGGAGTCTTCAAAAGAGGAGGGGGAGGGTTTACAGCTAAGCACACCCTCCAACCTGCATGCCTGAGTTAAAGTGGTTCTAAAGGCATAAGGTTTTTGTATGCATTTTATGTATTAAGGTAAAAAACCTTCTGGGTGCAGTCCCTCTCTCCCCCCATATACTTACCTGAGCCCCATCTCGATCCAGTGATGTGCATGAGAGCTGCAGCTCTCCTGGGTGTCTTTCTCCTCATTGTCTCATACAGCTTCGGGACATTGAGGAGAGAGCGGGGGATGGGGCTGAGCCATGCTCTGTGAGTAAATGGACAATGCCCATTCACAGGAGCATGGCTCAGGAGCAAGACTGCAGGGAGGAGGAGCCAGCACCACCAATGCGGACCCAAAAAGAAGAGGATTGGGGTTGCTGTGTGCAAAACCATTACACAGAGTAGGTAAGTATAACATTTTTTTTTTCTTTTTTTAATTACAACCTTTGGAATCACTTTAAGGCCAGATGGATTCCAGGGAGTAAATGCTACATGAATAATCTGCCCTTACTCAAGATGGCCACGGCCAGAAATGCTAGGGGGTGTTTTTCAAAGGGATTTCTCAACAAAATAAAACATGGAGACATGAATGAATGAGGGAGTTTGCTTTGACTATTAAAAATGAATTTAATAGCTTTTTTGGTTTGTGGTGCTCAAATGAAGAATAGTTCTGTTTTAATATCTATTATATAATTATATTACATATTATAAATATATTACATATAATTTATGTAAAAATACCTATAGCAAACCTATGTAATATTTATGGGTTTGAACGGGACATTTTCTTACAATATTTACCGCAATTTAAAATAAAGATTATAGTTTCCCATAGAGCTATACATTATTTTTTACTTTTTATAATTATTATAGACATCTAATAATTGTCTATACAACTGAGCATTTTAGAAAACAGTGATTAAAGTATGCATATTTAAAGCGTTACTAAACCCAGGACTCTGCATTTACTGGTCTGGTCTCCCACAGTACACAGAACATGGAAATGCAAATATTTTAGTAAATATAAACTTCTAGATACCTTTTCTCATCAGCAATATATGGCAGTCTTGTGACTTCTATCAGTGTCTGGCTGAGCACTGGTTAATCTTGTAGGAGGAGTTTTCATTCTGCTCTGTTACATGACAGTCAGAGCATAACCCCTGACCCTGTCTGGACAGTGCTGAATTGCCCTGTGATGAGCAAATCCACCCTCCTAAAGAAAGGAAAACTCTCTAGCAATACACACGTGAGCATGTGCAAAGTGACTCCAAGAGCTCTGTACTATCAGTAGATGGATTGGGGACAGTAGAAGAAGGAATGGGAGGCTCAAAAAAGACAGGACTGATTTTACTGTTGTGGGTTTAGTAACACTATAATTGCTCTCATGTCTTTCTGAGAAATCTACCTTGGAGCAAATTTCTGAGTAAAGTATTCACATTGACCATTTCTATGACTTGGAAACATGCACTGTGCCAATATTAATCAGTCGACAGTATGTCTGTAGGTTTGTTCGTCTTAGCTAGTTTTTAATTAAGGTGATCTTGCTATTTCTGCATCTGGTTTCTATTTGCAGCATTCAATGTAGAGTAACATGATGACACCGTCATTTCTAGAAATTGGTGACATACCATGGCTGGTCAGACTGCCTTCCCAGGGGTGATACACAACAGCCGCTGGCAACCTTTGTTCTGCAGAAAAGTAGTGATTGATATATTCATATGCAGAACCTGTTTGGACAGCACATGATATACACGCCCAGATTTCTTTTTTGGGGCAACTGTTTCAGTATGCCCCAAGTGTGCATGAGACCTTAAGGAAAAGGAAAAGGATCATGTACATTTGTGGGGCTGTTGCTGTGCGCTGGTAGCCCATTCTAAATAAATGAGCTGCATTCAGGCAATAGAAACACTATAGAAAACAGTGTGTTAACACTCCACAAGGCCTGGACAGGTCGGAAGGGAGAAATACTCTGATTCATGCAACAAATTATATTACGTATTAGATAATTGAGCAATAAAGTGGTTTACACTTTCCCCACATTCTGACACATTTGCAGTGGCCGCTTGATGAAAGCTAGCACAGACACCTTTTCAGAAACAACTGTTTCTTTTTTAAGTCTTGCAAAGAAGCCCTTGTCAGCAATGCAGAGTGCTGACATACACTTCATGTGTGGTATATATTATCAGCACTGAATTTAAAGAGGTATTTATCTCATCTCACTGAAGCTATAAAAAGCAACACAGTATTTGGTGCTGCTAACATTATCTAAAGACCTATTAACACCAGCGGGCGCATGTTTTGATATACATGACACACGCAGCACATCATATCACATCACATCCATCACATCACATCACATCATATCACATCACAGTGTTTTCTGTTTTCCTTTTTTTCTTTTATTTAAAGTCAACAAAAACACTACATTTAAATGTATGTACAACAGAGTGTTGCAGTGCACCGCCATGTATTGTAACATGGTTTTGTGCATTTTGCACCAGCACACTTATAATTGTAAACTGGGCACCTTGCACTGAGCTTGCGTTGATTAAACACTTGTCCTCCAGAGGATTAACCTCCCTTCCTGACCAGGTCATTTTTCGCAATTACTTTAACTGACAATTGCGCGTTCATGCAACGCTGCACTCAAATGAAGTTTATCTCCTTTTTTTCCCACAAATAGAGCTTTCTTTCGTGGTATTTGATCACCTCTGCCTTTTTTATTTTTTGCCCTATAAACAAAAAAAGACCGACAATTTTGAGAATAAAACAATATTTTTTACTTTTTGCTATAAAACATATCAAATAAAAAAATATTTATAAAACTAATTTATTCATAAATTTAGGCCAAAATTTATTCTGCTACATGTCTTTGCTAAAACAATTTCAATAAGTGTATATTAATTGGCTTGCGTGAAAGTTATAGCGTCTACAAATGGCTGCATATATACCGGAATTTTTTTTTAAATTTTTTCTATACTAGTAATGGAGGCGATCAGCGACTTATAGCGGGACTGCAGCGGGCATTCTGACACTGGAGGGGCACTGACTACCTGCCACTGACATCCCCAGTGACACTAATACAGTGATCAGTCCTAATAAAAAGCACTAACACTGTACTAATGGCACTGGGCAGGAAGGGGTTAACATCTGGGGCGATCAAAGGGTTAACTGTATCCTGTGTGTGTTTTACATTGTGCGCTGTGTGTCTGTTTTACATTGTGTGCTGTTTACTTGGGAGACATGCTGCTTTGTATCTCTCTGATGTGCAGAGAGATACAAAGCAGCACATCCATGCTGACTTCACAGAGACCTGTGTTATTTACACACAGGTCTCTCCCCTGTCAGCTTTGCCGACAATCACTGAGTGCCGGGCAGGAATCGCCTGCCGGGATCTGGTGATTGACATCACCAATAGCTGTGCAGGTAGGGCGGCATGCGTGTGCCCCCTACCTGGGAATACAAATCACGTGTATATATATATATATATATATATATATATATATTTAAGATATATATATATATACGTGATTTTGCGAAGCTGTGCTGCCCTGTAGCAGTACTTCTGCTATAGGGCGGATGGCAAGGCACCTGGTGTGGAGAAGCCATGAGGCTAGACTTACATAGCTTGAATTTCAGCTGGTTCCTGCTGAATTGGCCAAAATTTGAGCTGCGGATGGCCTTTTCAGCACCACTAGGTTCAGCCAAAGTCGTTTCAAAAATTGATCACTGGAAAATTCTTGGCCAAACAATGATTGCTTCCTGTCAGATGCAGTCATTGTTCAGGGATTCAGGCAGCCGTGGGTGCTGCAGATGCTTGAATACAATAGCAGCCAGATGATATTCTTTCATCCATGCTTTTTAATGTGGATGGAGGATTCTTTCAATTTTCTCACCTTCAGCCCACAGAAATCTACAAGTGTGTGGTTAGAATTTTTTCTAAGAAGAGGCCCACATTTGCTTTAT